TTTTTTTTTTTTTTTTTTTTTTTTTTTTTTGCTTTAAGTCATTTACTTTGGGTTTCTCATATAGGAGAAATTATGTGTGTTCTGTGACTTATTTAACATTCTGGCTTAAAAGTTTCACCCAGCTTCCTACAAATGACTCGTTTATCTTTTCTGGCAGAGTACACTTCACTGGGTATAAAGTTTCTTTATCCAATCATGTGTGGATGTAGACTGCTTCGAAGATTTAACTGTTTTGAGTTATGCTGCTATAAACATGGATATGCACATATTATTGTGATATGATTGTCTTTAATTCTTTCCAGAAGATACCCACAAGGGGAACAGATAGGACAAATGGAATTTCTAGTTTTACCTTTTTTTTGGAAATTGCCATAATGATTTCCATAGTGGCTCAACTGCACCCCCCTCCCCTGCCCCACCAAAAAAGATAAGAATTCTACCTTTTTTTTTTTTTTTTTTTTGAGACAAGGTCTCACGTATACAGTTCAGGCTGGCCTCAAACTCCTGGTGATCCTACCTCAGCCTCTCCAGTATTGGAATTACAGGTGTGTGCCACCATACCTGGCTGATTTAATACACAGCGAGCTAAATGGATGTAGATTCAATTGTCTCTACATTTACACCCAGTTTTGTTGTAGACAATTTCAAAGTTATTTTTCTTAAGGGTTGGGGATGTAGCTCAAGAGGCTCAGCACCTGCCTGGTAAGCAAGTGCAAGGCCCTGAGTTCAATTCCTGGTAGGAGGGGAGGAGGAATTTCAAAACATTTCTCTTAATCTCACAAGAAGGGTCTACTTCAATTCCTATGATCTTTATCAGTGAAACACTGGTATTTGGGGGGTGGGTGTATGACAATGAAGATGTCCTAACTGAAATATTCTTTTAAGTCAGAAAGACTTTGTTCCAGTATAAATATCATCTCCTAAAATCAACATTCACAAAAGAATTCTTAAAGGATTCCAGAAATAATCTGACCAATTTGTTTTTTTGAGATAGGGTCTCTCTCTCTTTGTAGTGCAGGCTGCAGCTGAACTCACTGAACTGCTGGTGATCCTCCTGCCTCAGCCTCCTGAGTTCTAGGAGATTACAGGTCTGCCTCCACACCCAGCCACCCTAATTTTTTTTTTCTTTTTCTGCTCAATTTTTTAACTCTTCTCTTTTTTTCGGGGCGGGGGAGGCAATCTAACTCAGGACCTCACACTTGTTAGGTGCTGCGCCATTGAACTATAGTCTTGGCCCTTAACTACTGAATTTAACACTGTATTTGTTTATGTATGTTCTAGACTTTTTTTTTTTTTTGTATTGGGAATCAAATTCAGGGCCTCACACTTGCCAGGCAGATACTGCTGAACTACATCCCTGGTGCTGTTCTAGACTTCTTAAATCCCTAAATGTAACTCTAATCTTCCAACTTTTTCCATATACTAAGGATTGCTGATATCCAAATGCAGTAACTGTATATATTATAAATGTTGTTTTCTAATGAATCTAATCTGCCATTTTTCCTTGTTTTTAAAGGTCTGTTCACAACAGAGCTAGGTATGTAGATCAGTGATAGAGTGTGTGTCTGACACATCGGCACTGAAGAAAAAATTAAAAAAGACTACCCATATAGTCTGCAGGGATCCAAACTATCAATATACCATGCTTCATCTAGTGCAGGGCCATTTCTTAGCTTCAAGTTACCCTTCCTCAGCCTCCCAAACTTTAAGGACCTTTTACTTTTATTTATTTATATATTTTTTGGTACTAAGGATTGAACTTAGGACCTTGCACTTGCCAAGCTGGTATGTAAGCTACTGACCTATTTCTCCCTTCAAGGACCTTTAATGTAAGATCTCTTCCTGTATGATGCCAAGACTTATCTTCAATGCACTCCATTAAGACTTCCATTACTACCAATTATGGCAAGTTGTTTAGGTGTTAAACCTCTCCAACTTCACTCCAATTTCCTGAATTTAT